TTTAAATTTTAAAAAGAAATTTAAACTTATTTTAATAAGTAACTTTAATTAAAAAATTGAATATAATGATAATATTTGAAAAAATTTAATCTTTAAAACTAATAATTTTTTTAAAATTCATCAGGACTTTTACTAACCCTAGTGGTAACGGTAGTGTTTTATATCTTCACAAGATAATTATAATATTACACAAAACAAAGATGAAAAAAGTGTTACGAAATTAATGATAACATTCCATCAGGTAAGCTAATAAGAGGCTTATTCCTTTTATATTTAACGAGAAGTGGCTGATATATATGTATTTTTTTTAGAAATATATGAAATCAATACTAATGATGAAGAATTACAGGAATGTGTAACTAAATAGTATGCAACTTGATTTTACTATTTCATTCTTATATGTGCATCGAAATAATAAGATATTCAAGAAAATTACGACATCGGAAATCTAATGATACAATTAGTATGGTAACATGACCACAAATAAGAATCTGGCATTGTTCTTATTCGTTTAACAATTTGTCAAATGTGCGTTTTTATTTATATATATTGAAGTAGCAAGCCAAATATTGAATTAATAACTCAAAATGAAGTCCGTTCGATGCGTTTACATTTTGGTCAATGATGATTACAAAAGTTAAATTGAATTGGTTTTCGGATTTCAATTAAAAATGTAATTAGAAGAAGATGAATACGAAAGAAAGAAATTTTTTTTTTGATCTAGAAATTTTGTGTAGAGAAAAAAAAATATATAGATAAAATATCATTTAATTGCAAAAATAGAAAATATTATAACCTTTTTTTATATACCATTATTTAAAGAAAAATCCCTGTGAAAGAATCTTTAAAAATGGTGAAAAAAAAAAATTAGAAACTTCGAGCCAAGCATGCATTTTTTTGACGTTCTTTCTTGTCAACTTTTGAAATACGATCCGACTTTCGAAATAAGCCAATTCCATCGAATTTTTTGATCCACTTTTTCCGTTTTTCATTCAGGTTAGTAGTTATAGTTCCAACAATTTCTTGATTGTCAGTTTTTTGATTTAAGTCTCGTGTTGAATCATTTTGTTGATTTACATCTTCATTTCTCCTATTTTCGTCTGTACTTTCTGATTCATTAGCCTGGTTTGATTTCTCACTTAATTGACTTTGATACTTTGTGGGAATAATCTCATCAGCTTCAATTGCGATTTTTGATTCATCAACTTGTGTTATTGAAAACGAATTGTAACTGAATACATATTCATTTGGTTCTATGGGAGTTGAGTTGATTTCCGATTCAAGTGCATTCTGTTTTGAATCTGATTGTAATCGCACAGATTTATCTTCATGAATTTGTATGGAATCATAGTTTATCTATAAAAAAAATTAATATATATATATATTTAATATATCTCTTAAAATGAACAATTCAGATCAAATACTGTACATAGCATAACTGGTAAATCAATCTGATCATCTTTTTGATGTAGCCGGATTTGACCAATGGTAGATTCTTCAACTTTAAATACAGAAGATAAACTTTGCGATTCATCAGTTTGATTTATTGAGTTTAACTCACATAATTCGAACATAGAACCATTTGACATTGTTGTCATGCTTAATTCATTTGAGGTGTGAACGCGCTCGATAAACGTCGAATTGATTGCCGATTCAAGCGCAATGCTCTTTAATTCCTCATTAACTTCATCCCTAATTTGTTTTCCACTTTCTCTTATCTTTAAAGTTTTTTTTTTGTTTTTTTTTGAAAAAAAATTTTTTTAATAGATTCATTGTTTGCATATCCAACAAGCAAAAGTGAATATACACCTATACTCACTTCAACATCTTCCGAATCACGAATTCTTCTCTCAAATTCATAGAGTTGATTCATGAAACTACTGTTTGGTTGGATTTGTGGTCTTATTGATCTTGCATAACTAAATGCTTGATCGAAACTTCTTCCTTTATATATCAGGTAAGCGATTATTAAACTACCAGATCTACTTATTCCTTTATAGCAATGAACCAGGACACTCTGATTGCTATGAATGATACGATCAATGTATTTTACCGCAACCTATATATTTAATTTCTACTTAATAAAATAATACAATAACAAGAATAATATATATAAAAGTTACCAGGAGAAATTCCAAAATATTTGATCTTAATGTATCTGGTACATCTGAAAGTATAGAAAAAAAATGAGTTTTTTTTTTAATATCAAATAAACTAAAAATCAAATAAAAAATCAAGATCCTTGCAATAGTTTAGATAGATTGGTCTGGACCAATTATATTTTTGAATTAATTGAACGTTTATTAATTCATCCTTATGAAAATAATTTTTTCCCGGGCTTAGATTTATAATGTACTTGATTTGATTTTCAGCGAGCAAGATTTGACTAGCAGCTGTTGTAATATTTGAAATAAAGAGGTGCGGTAAAATTTGGTTCGGTTCCATTGCTTGACCTTTCATTAATCGATCTATACCATACAAAGTAACGTAATCCACGCTATCCTAATTTATTTTTTTAAAGTATTTAACAAAATTAATATTAAATGAATCTAAAAACATAAAATATAAAGATGACTTACGTTTGAAGGTTTTTGATATTTCGGAAAAGGAGGAAGTCCTTCAAAGATATCGTTAGGTGTATCTTCCATCGTTTTGAGTGCTTAAATAAAAAGGCAACATATTTGGTTAGAATATTTTATAAAAATACGCAACTACTAATAATCACGAACTATTTCTAAAAGAATCAACCACTTGATATTTAGAAAACAGAGAAAAAGTGGAATGAAATCAAAACGGATATCAATTATTGATGTTTGATTCGAAATATATTTGCTGTCGATGAAAATCTTATCCAAATTTGATGGATTAATTGTAATGATTATTTCATTACTTCTTCAGCCAATATATATTTCCAAGAAATATGAAATATTTCTGAATCACCAATATTTTGTTAATAATCAATTTCGTGCTTGGAAAGATAAGTATCTTGGTTTTGCCAACATATATTTGAGCAAGATAATTCATGCTCCAAAAGTTTTTATAATCCAAATATTGACGATAGATAACACTTTTTTCTTTCTTTAGTAAAATGAAAAAATTCTATTGTATTAAACAAATTTCTTTAAAAAAGAGAGAATTCCTATGATCTTAGTTTCATCCTTTCATTATCACGTATTCCCATGAAATATATATATTTATTTTTAAAGAAAGGAATAAAACAATGGTCCTTTCATAATAGTCGTAAAATACATAGTCAAAATATTGTAAAATTTTACCTGCAAAAAAAAAATGTTTGATCGTAAAAAGAATTTTTTTTTTGCAGATCCTTAATTATGTAAAGAATTACGTTAAGTACTTTCTGTCGAGAAAATAAAAAGGAAATTTGGATTTTGATTTCTTTATTTATTAAATATTGATATGTACAAAAAAATAAAATAAATTAAAATAATGCGAAATTATCTTCACTCCTTTCCAAAGTATTATTATTGAATTCTTATTGAAACGTTATCATAATCAAAATTATAATTTGTATATTTGCACTTTTCTTCTAAATTTATATGTTCTCCATTTCTTCTTTCGTACCATTCTCAACGGTTTTAGAATGGTAAATATAGTAAATATATTTGGGATCTGATTTATGAGGCCAATGATGAATATGATATAACGATTCGTAATCTGCTATTTGCTTTGCTCGAAATGTTAACAAAGCTTGTCTTCCTTGAGTTCATAACCCCACTAAAAGATTTTTATTTTGTTTTTATTTAAATTTAAAAAGTAAAGATAATAATAAAAATTATATAATAAATGCTTACCTCATGAAAGTAATAAGCATGTTTTGTCAATTAAAATGCTAGCGAACAAGTCGATAGTTACCTTTTGGATTGTTCCAAAAATATGTAGCCGAAAAATGGATTATCGCACGATCAATATCAGCTTTGATTTGAATATCGTTTTCATTTGTTGCAAAATTTGTAGCATTTCCACTAAATGTAATATATATAGAGGTTGAATCTCTGGACGTATAAGCAAAATAAAACCTATAAAATAATAAATTCTATTAAATAAATATTATCATCGACTTGTAAAATAATCCCAGAAGTTTTTTTGCAGATGAGTATTAAGATTTTTTGTTGTAATAGAGTTGGAATATTAGTTCGCATAAAAATTACAATTTCTCACGTGACCACTTACTTGATAGAAATTTTTTCTCCGAGTAAATGTGCTTATACTCATTTTTGCAATTCCATTTTAGCAAGATTATCATAGAAAAATTTTGTTAAAAGTATGTTTGAAATATTTCATCATGTATTTTACGAGTCTACTACTTGTCTTCGAGCGACTGTACATAATTACATAATAGATAATATACTCCATGCAATTCGGTGATAGTTTTAATAAATACTGAATCTTTTCAAATTATGTTCTTGTTTGTCATTTATCGATTCCTACTCTATAGTAAAAATTTTGCGTTTACATTAATAATATTCATTTATTTTAGACGCTGCTACAAAAATGAAAATATTCATCGTCATCTTTTATAAGTTCGATACATCAATTGATTGAAATCATCGAGGCGGTGGTTTTATCATTTTCATTTTGAGGCAAAGGTGATTTGGGTGCTATTAAAATTGAGGCACAGATCATATGATTTACTATGTCTCGTACCTCAATTTTAATAGCATACCACCCATTTATTCGGAAATCAGCGACCGTTTCATAAATTTCGTGTTGAGTATTTTTAATACATTTTTTAAAAGGTTCACTGATTATATATATATAAGAGAGATAGATGATAAGTATAAAGTAATATTGAAATGTAGAAATGTTTGATTTTAAAGTGAATTTTTACCCGTGTCGAATGAACGTCTAATTTACCATCTTTACTAATTCCAATTCGGTATTCAACTTTCATTAACTTTTTAATGGCGAGTGAACAAAGGACGAATTATTTTAAATATCTGTATGTCGCGGATTGTTCGTTTTCTTTTAAGTTATTTTCAATTTTTTTGTGTAATATCAATCTGATCTTATGCATTTACGTGATAAATTTCCATTTAGTTCTTTTTGGAAAAAAGGAAAGGAAAATAAATGCACAAAGTTATAAACATTTTATTCACTCCATATTTCTAAATTTAACCTTTTTATTATCGAACAACATACATATTAATTATTCCTTTAAATAAAATTTATTTTGCTTGTTTTAGAAACAAAATCAAAATCGAAAACTCCTGCTGTTTCATTATGAAAATTTTATTAAATTGTAAATTTTACCCGATCTTGGTCATTGTTATCAACTCGTAAATAACTATATTTTTATTCACGTGAATCTCATAATTCTCCGTTTGTTTTACCAAGACACATTTTACATTTTGCACATATCCATTCTGAATTTGTTGCATACATAAGGTAAAGAAAATTCTTGATTTTTAGCAATGCGTTGTATGAGGTTTATTTTGTATTATTTGCAAATGTATAATATATAATATACTATTTTTATCATCTGTTTATCTATCTGTTTCTTTTTTTTTATAAAATATTGGTGAAAAGAAACTATTCATAGCCATAATTATGATATCATTAGGGTATAGAAATTGTATTAAGCACATTATTTAGTTCGAGGATCCATCCACATCTAAGAACCAAATGCTCATTCCAGTTTATTTTAAAGTAAACCGGATTAGTGTTGGCATTCCAATGTATAAGGTATGGTGCTTGATTAGGTCGATCATTTTCTCGAGTTACAGGAACCGAATCTATCCAAGGATTTGGATTCTGAGGGAACGGACGAACTAATTCGGGAAGAGCCATTCCAACAAATTCAATTCTAGGATTATGTCGTTGAGCCAAAGTAATTCTATGTAACGCTTTTTCACGATCTAAATCTCTGTTATAAAAAATCTGCAAGAATTCAAATCTGATAAGCAAAGTCATTTACAATTTTTTTCTGCAAGAATTTAAATTACCTCTATCCAGACATTCGGCAGTGGATGGGAATTTCTAATTGGATTTTGCCGTTTTAAAAACGTCGGCCTTTGAAACCACACGCTAACATCGGGCCGATAGTCATTGTTCCCAGCCACACATATCTCATTAGAGTTTACATGCCAATTTGGATTATGCGCAGCGGCTGAATTCGCAAGAAGTCTGTAAATAGTCGATTTATCTTCCCCGTCATACTAATAAAATTAGTCAGATTTAAATACAAAATGATATATGTAATTCGGAATAAAACTTACTTTGATATATATGTCGTTATCGATTATTTGAGCATTGTATACATCGTGAATAGCATCATGTACATGTGTATCAGCTTTATCTAGTTCAGGAATAATGATCTTGACAATATTTTGATTTCGATCTCGCGTTAATAATGATTCATCGATCTTAGTGAGGATCTATCGTAGTCGTTAGTATGTTCTTAATGTTCTTAATAGTCTTCAATCTCATTTAAATACCTGCTTAATTTTGGAGGATTGTCTGGTCTCTCGGGAAATTTTTAGACCTTCCATTGAAACGAAAAATAAAGTTGTTCGAAAGTTAAAAAGTACTACGTTTCCTATATAACCATTTTCATGAATCATATCACGTGACGTACCTACTTGCTATGGTGCAGATCATCTATAAATAGAAATAAAATTGTATAACTTTAAAATCCTAAAACTTTTGTTCTATATAGATTATGTAGAGCATGTTTAATTTGAAACGTGACTCCTCTCAAAGAATTCTCTAATTCTGACAAATGTTGTTAAATGATCTGTTGTATTTTTTATATTATATTAGAGTTTTTCAAATATTATTAAATATGATTAATTATTTACTACTACTTACAGTGCTTGCATTTATCATTAAAAATCTTCTTTATATTCATGGTGAAATTTTTGGAATTTAGCTTTAAGATTCTATTAAATAGCTTTGTATTTTCCAATATGTTTTGTATATAAATTTAATTTAAAAGTATCAATAGAATTATCTTGACTTTGAATACAGAAAAGATTTATAATCTCCCTTCCAATAAGATTTATTTGAGATCAAAAACTTAATTATGTAGATTTTTGAATTCTGTCATATTTTTGCATCTGTATTTTATTTTATTCAATCAATATCAGCTTTAATAGTCTATAACTTTGATATTAAATAATTTGTTAAATGCTTATAGATACTTATTATTATTGGGAATATAGAATTTTTAGAAATCACATATACTTTTAATATATGCTAATAAAGATTTAAACATTTTAGATTTAATATTTTAATTTCTTTAATTATACTTTTTCATAATATCTCTTTTATCTTTTTGTAATAATTCTAATTATTTGTTTTATTTTGAAATACTTGTAAAAGTTGTTCAAATCCAGAATATTTCTTCATATGGGTTAGTACGTATAAAAATTGGGTTTTGATCATATGATTTATATAGTCCTGCAGTATGATTTTCATACGTACTAACTCATATAATCTAATTCATTATGAAATTCTTTCAAAAATAGTATATAAAAGAATAATATTTATATTATTGACCAACTTAGTTATTTTAATAATAAATATTTTTTTCATGTTTAATTTTGTTATATTAAATAAAAGTAAATTTTCTTAAGAATGAAAAAATTAAGATAAGGTATTATATTTTTTATTAGAAATACTATTAGTTTTTTATATATTATTATATAATTTCATTCAATTTTAAAAGACTTGATCTTTTTTTTTGAAAGTTGATAAATTTACAAATTTGATTTTATATTATCCTGAATTCTACAGATTACAGTGAACTCTTGATATAACGAATTCTAGGATCTGGATATTAACTTCGTTATAAGCTTATAACGAATTTTTTAAAGAATTTAATTGGCTAGTTCACTATAATAAGGTAATTTTAATATATTTGATTTAAAAATTCGCTATATCAAGAGTTCGCTATATCAAGGTTTGACTGTATAGTATTTCTTGTAAGCTTTTTAATATATAAAAGATATTTTAGTCTTCAAAATTGTAGTATAATTAATTCTAATATTAAACTTATTTCTAGAATTATTATTATTAGAAGAGCTAAAGCTTGAGTTATCTAAATAGTTAGAGTCAGAACTAGAAGACTATTATAGTAAAAAAAAAAATTAAAATTAGTGATAGAAAAATTGTTTTTTGAAAAACTAAACTTTTTTTTTTATTATTTTTTTTTTTATTTAATTTTTACTTTCTGATTTTAATTTATATCTGATTTATCATTTCAAATTGTAAAAGATTTTTCTTTGAAATAATAACTAACTTGTTTTTTAGATCTTCTTAATTTTTTGCTGATATTATGATTTTCTTTATAAATTCTATAAATCTAGTAATTTGTTTATTTTTATATCAATACAGTCATACCTCTCTATAGCGAATTTTTATATAACGAATTTTTTGGACAACTATATTAAATTTACCCTCGTTATAACGAACTAGCCAATCAAATTCTTTAAAAAATTCACTATAGCTCTATAGCGAAGTTGAAGTTCAGGACATAAAATTCGTTATATCAAGGGTTGACTGTACCTTGTAAATTGTTAATCGTAAAATACTTATATAAATCTTGATTTGAAACCTTTACTTGAATTAGTCGTGATAATAAACTTGTAAAAGTCTTAAGATTACTGTGTAAATAACACTCTGACACCCCGTCTAACAGTTGTAATTCACAAGAATTACATGTTAACAACATCAGGAATTTTATACTATTGATTTGGGATCATGCATATGTGAAAGGTGGCAAGTCTAGAGTAGGTACTAACACAAAAAAGTGCTGATATACCAATTCCTTATTAATTAAAAGGAGGTAAATGCATAAATGTATGCCTTCATTGAGTAGAATAACATAATGTCTGATTCTGTGTATGCCAGTTGCTTGTATGTTCCACACTACTTCTCTATATTAGCCAACATTTCCTTTGTTAACTTCTGAAACTGCAGGGCTATTTTTTGAATCATCAGGGTAAGTGAATGATTATGTTCATTATTAAACGAGTTTATTTTTACAATTTCTATTTTTGAACGAGTGACATTAAGTTCCAAGGACATAATATTCATTGATAATGAGCATTGCGTTGCTTTGTTGGATCCGATTTAGTTTATAGATTATGAGTCCCAGATTTTGCGCATTCGTAAATAGTCCTTCGCATTACACCTTAAATAGTTTCGCTTGTTCTGATCTTATAACTAAAACCCTTTTTTAATTCAAATTTATGTATCCAACTTTTGAAGTTTTCTCAGTTAGTAAAGGTAAATCTAAATGTTAATTCTAAAGAATCAGATAGCTCATCTATACTGTTTCATCATAAATGAATGGATTTGGGTTCGTTTCATCATCAATAGGTGAATTTGAATCCATTTCATCATAATTTGGGTTCATTTCATTAAGCTGTTAAGCAGATTCGCTAATTAGATGATTGATAATAAAGATGATAGAAAAAATAAATAGAAAATATAAGAAACATATATAATAAAAAACCGAGGAAACATATACAACAAGAAAATTATATGCAGTGTGTAATTTATCATTAAAAGTAAAGTATCATATTGTTTAATACAACTAACATTGTCTTGTCCTAATTTATTCATCTTGATTATACCAAACAATATAGATAAGAAATCAAAAAAGAAGGAATAATGTAATTTTAACAATTGGATCTTATGATTATGATGTAAATAGTTTTATTATGATAGATATGACGCAAATAAATCATAACGTAAATAAACGTGTGATACCACTATTGATGTAGCTATATTTATCATGACGCAGATGCAGACATATATTACGTGGTAGTGTCAACACACTACGTGTACATTAATAAATTTTCTTTTTTTATATATATTATTTTTTTATTTTATAATAATTTTTTTTTTAAAAAAATTTGTAATAGCGTTGCAATGCCCAAATAGTTACACAAATTAATATTATTTTACCTTTTTAATTTATCGCATAATCATAATTAAAAATTCTAATCTAATTAAGTATTAATTATCTTGATTATGTATAATAATGACAATTTGATAGTACAAACAGAATTGTCATTTTTTTCGATTATTTTTATTTTGGTATTTTTTTTATTAAATTTGTGAATGTTGATAATAAAATCAAATGTTAAAATACCAAGTATCATAATACTTTATGAACAAGTATCTCAGACTGTAACGTTGTATTATCTGAATTCTGTTAATTTTATAAATTACAAAACTTTAAATACATTTTACGTTCTAATGATAGAAAGTCTTATTGGTTTAACTATATGATCTCTAAAATATATTTGCAAACGTAATTACTTTATTATAATTATTTTTTTATGATATAATACCGTATATTTTCATCATTTATTATATTATTTTAGATTGTCTTCGACAAGCTTGTAGAAGTTTGCATGAAGAGTGATATTGAAATGAAAACTGTCATAGGAAATATTATTCAAATAGCGAAAGATATGGGAGATATCATTCATAAAGCAGAAGTAATAGTAGATTGTTCATGTAAATATCTTGTAATTATATATATATATATTTTTAATTAATATATTATTACTATTGATATATCACATTCAGAATTTTCTATTTTATCTATTTCATCTTCAATTTGATTTGATAAATTCTTAATTCTATTTTTAATAATATTCCCATTTGAAACTCTTAATGGAATATTATATTTAACGATTTCAAAAGAACGATAAAAAGAATTTTTGTAATTATCAATTCCAAAAACTATTATATTATTCCTTATTACTTGAATTTCTATAAAAGGAATTTGATGAAGATCATTAATTATTATTATGCCAGTTTTTAAACACTCAACTTAAATAAGCATTGTGATTATGTGTGTAGAAGGTTTCCTTTGTAAAGAAGATAAAGAACTTAATTATAATTTTATGAATGCAAAGAAAATATGATAAAATGCATAGAATAAATAATTAATAAACAAAATTATAGTACTGCCTTTATCAACGCATCTGTACTAAACAGTTTATTTATTAAAGAATTTAAAACTACTAAAACTAATATAAGACAAAACTAAAATGATCTATCAATACTTAGATCTAAATTACTCCTATTTATATAAAAACTATCCTATATAACATTATAATAATTTAAATAAAGAAAATAAAGAAAATAAGATAATGAATAAAATAGATAAAATAAATATAATAAAATAAATAAAATAAATAGAAAAATGAATTAAATAAATTAAATAAACTATAACATCAATGGTTTCTATTATATAAATCAATTTTACTACTTTTTTTTTTAAAGACGTGGTGAAGCATTTATTTATTTAGATTTCAAAATTCAATATAAAAAAAGAAAATTCCAAGACGGGTACAAAAGTAGAAAAATAAAGTAAATGCTGCTTAGTCCTCTTCGAAGGGATTAACCAACTCTGACCAAACTAACCAGTAGTCCCACCATGTTTCTAAATGACTACTATGAGAAGAAAAGTCACTACATGGCAAATGAGAAGTTAAAAAGACAACTAGTTTTACTGCTTTAAAAAGAG